ACAAATCACTAATGTACTTCCGTTGATTAAAAAACAAACCAGCTTCATTCCTTTGTATTTCTAATCCCAGGAAATAAGATGATTCACCTAGTTCTTTGAGATTGAAGCCTGCCCGCAATGATTGAGTTAACTCATGAATGCCTTCTATGTCACTGCCTGTTACAATCATGTCATCAACATACAAAAGGAGAACTGTGTTACCATGGACAGTCTAACAAGTGAACATTGAGGGATCATTCTGACTCTGCACAAATCCAGCTTGAAGTATACCATGAAATTTTTTCAACCAAGCCCGCGGTGCCTGCTTCAAGCCATATAAAGAACGTTATAACCTGCAAACCAACCATGGTCCTCCTTTAATATACCCTTCTGAACACTCCATATATATTGTTTCCTTTAAGTCTCCATGAAGAAAAATATTTTTCACATCAAACTGAACAATCTTCCATTTCTTCATTGCTGCAACAGCCAACACACTACTAATGGTCTGCATCTTCACTACAGGTGAAAATGTCTCATCGTAGTCTATCCCATGTTCATGTCTGAAACCCCGAGCCACCAGTCTTGCGTTGTACCTATCCAATGTACCATCTGGTTTCATCTTAACCGTGTACACCCAACGACAACCAATTATTAAAGTACCCGGAACACGTGGAACTAAATCCCACGTATTATTTTCTTCTAGTGCCCACAACTCTTCCTTCATGGTTGTATCCCAATAAATATTCCCTTGAGCATACCGATAATTGCTGGGTATAGGAATTGGTTCCGCAAAGAAGCCAACACCATAATCTTCCAAGTGCTTGGGAGGCTGTCCCATCGTGGTGTGAGTTGACCATCTCAGTTAGGGTAGAGTAGGCGGTGTTCCCAACTCAGAACTCAACTCATGTGTTGAACCTGTTGTGTTGGAGTCTCTGTATTGATCGTGCGAGGACGAAGAGCTCGCGTGATCATTGGTCTAGGGAGAGGAGCTAGTGCGTGCTAGAGAAAGTGACGCCACCGTAGTGGGCGACGAAGTCGATGAAGCTCCTGACTCGTATGACCCCGCAGCTCTCGTCGACGGACTGGGTGAATTGTTGATGTCATTACCCGAGGACGAGTCAGTGGATGAGTCACCTGAAGCCGAGGGACCAGATGAGTTGAGGGAATGATTTTCCAAGTGATTCCCTCCCTGACGTACACCAGTCAATATATATATATAGTATATATATATATATATGGTGACGTCTTCGGTGCACTCACTTTTTTGGGTGCACTGAACGCACCCACTTTTTTATTTAATCTCAACCGTTGAACACATCTAACGGTTACAATAATTTGATTTATTTATATGTAATTATTAATTAATCAGCTATATTATATTTATTAAAACAATTTATACTTAATGACAATTGCAATCAAGTCCCTCACGTCACTTAACCCCCTGTTGGCCGTTTGTTTTCCCCTCTGGCACCGTCAATAGTTTCCCGGTGGCAGGCGACGATTAGTTTCCCGTGCCGGGCAACTGCCATCGTCGTCCTCCGCCACTAACCCATCTCAGGCGATTCCGGCATGCTCGACATGGAATAGGAGAAAAAACTTTTCGTTCTTGATTTGTTCCATGAAATATTCACTTTCTCTTCCATTGTTCGAGTGTCTTTCTTTTTCGATTCCGCTGCTTTCTTGGTCGATTCGTTCGAGTTCTGGACGAATTCGCATTTGTTTTCCTTCGATTCGACCGTTTCCTTGACGAATTCGTGTTTCCTTCTCCAATTTCTTCAATCGGCGCTTCAGCACTCAGTTGTGGTGCGATGGCTCATCTTTTCTTCGAGCTCCGCTTCTCTCGTCTCTGCTCCCGTCGATGCGAACCAGGAGTATTTCTTCGCCAATACCCGTCGCTTGCATCGTCTTCGCCCTTCAGATAACAGCTCCGTCAGGTCCAGATCCTCGCGTCGCTCGGTGATTCTTCTCGGTTATATCCAGCTCATCCAGTCGATCCAGTCCATGTCTTCAATTGCTCCGGCCGAAGAGTTGCTGAGTTGCTGTGCCTCTGGGTTTCGCGAACACAGGTCCTATCGCCGGCGACGATTGATTGCACAGGGACTACAGAGCGATTTTCGGAAGTCGGGAGCATGGCCGATAGATCAGGGACAGAGCCAGTCTTGAGTAGTCAAATGATCTGTGTTTTTTGTTTCCCTTTTGCCGCGACGGAGACGCAGGGGAAGGCTTCAGCTCAATAACTGGAAATCGTAGGGGGAAACTGATTTTTTTAGTGCTTGATTCAGACTGGAGCGATACTGAGTTGTCAATTTTACTGATTGTACCAAATTAAATCAAACATCGCTGGACCCCTATGCTGCGGGTAAAAGAACAAAACCAGAAGGAGGTTGCAGAAGGAAGGGCTGTTTTCGATCCGAATTCCTAACACATTCGGATGAGCTCTCAAATTATGTTTATGGGCTCAACGAACTTGCTTACTTACCCAGTTATCGGCTGACATAAGGCCGCTAGTTTAAGGCCCAAGTTTCACGTTCTGAGGGCCCAGAATAAAGTATTTGCAGGGTAATCGAATCTCTTGCTCACTTGTAAAATGTAAGTGAAGCCCGCACATATAAAGGCCCGAGTTTCACCAAATATAATGTGTGCAGTTGGGTTTCTTTTTGTATGTTAAGCCCGCACGTATAAAGGCCCGAGTTTCGTCAAAAAGAATGTATGTATGAAAATTAGAACCCACCTCGCCAGGTTCGTACCACGATTGTTAATTAATTCGTTAACATAGCCAGGGATTTAAACCACTAGAATAGTAGCCCACCACTTGTGCCAGTGACCTGTTTTGATTTTAATAATATCGAGCGAAATCAGCAAAAAAAATGTGTTTGTACGTAGACCTGAACCTCGTAACAAGATCAACCATCACCCAGGTAAGCAACTTAAACCAGTACCAGTAGTTGGCCGCTTGCCACCTGTAAAAATAACAATCTCTTATGATATTAGATTTAAAATTTAATTCGTAAAATTAGTTGAATGTGGTATGAATCATTCGGTTCTGAAATTTGGAAACGATTATCCAACCTTGGGTAATAGATTGCGTGAAGGTAAAAAAAATATGTAAGTGGTAGCATATGTAATTCAAATTTATGTATGTTGTCAACGACACATAATTTTCATAAGACTACAAGTAATTTGTTGTACAATTTTAAAATTATCATTTATGGTACTGAAATAGTATGTACGATGGAGTCCATAATTATCATGTTAGCGAGGCACAAAATCGGAAAAAGTAATCCCAATGTAAGCTATTTTGTATGAAAGAGCGTAACACGATAAGACCAAAAATCGATAGGTATTTTTGGGATAGATTCGATAGTATACCGGTAATCAACCAACCCGAAATCAGTCATACGTTTAAAAACACAAACCATGTTTCTTCATGTTTTCTCACATCACATTCTCGAGCTTACTCGACTAACTTGTTTAGTATTTAGTAAAGGAGGTCCAAATGGATCGTCCCTCATATTTAACATCAAAGATCTGACAAAACCTCCTCCATTTCACCCTTAAACTTCTCTCGACAATTAACGTTGGATTGTTCTTCGTGAAACATGGAATGAAAGTAGACCACAAGTAATCAAGCTAATTTAACTCATATGAAGATCAAGTGATAGATTTTGAGTATGAAACAATGAGTACATCATTCAGGCCAAGAATGACGGTGACCAAGTAGGTCATCCATTGACGGGTTCATTCCGCGTTTCCTAAAGCGGCAGCGTTGATACCCGGGTTGGATCCAATCCTTAAGCCTCATTGCTTAAGGAGGTTCTTAAACTATTTTTATTGGTTGATATTAAATTAGGTAGTTAATGATGGTTAGTAGTTAATATTTAGTTTGAATAAATAAGATATTATAAAAATATAATTAATATTACTCATTAATGATTATCTTTCTCTCTCTCCCTTATTTCTCCATAACCCTCTCTCTCCACTACAATGAAAAGGAAATTCGAACTTAATACCTATTAACTACTAACACCCTTTAACTACCTAATCCACCATCAACCAATAGGAAGGTTTTAAGATTCTCCTTAAAAAATGAGACTTAAGGACTTGAACTCAAGCCGTTGATACCAGAGCTGACCAAGTGCCCATCCCACATTTTCTATGTTCAACACAATCCATCCTTGTATGAGTGGAGTCATTAAGTTGCATGTTTCGATCCTCTTCCCCATTACTCATAAAAGAGGAACCCTCAATTCAAGTACAAAAAGACTATCATTACCACATGCACAATACTGCTTCATTCGCTAAATGTCATTGCCTGATACTAGCATTTTTCCAACATCGGTCATGGTGCACGCTTCCAACATGGTTTAGTGAGTTGTTATCAATTTGGGTGGACATAACAGTAAAGACGTCACAGCGAAAGCGACCTCTATTGTCACTAAATCTCGTCGTTGGTACTTGGATAATCTCCAAACTCTTGGTTTAGATAAGTTGTAACTACAATGCAAACTTTTTTATTTCGAGCATGGGTGTCCTATAAAGGAGGTTAGTTAGATTTGTATTACATTTGAGGCAATGAATGCTATAGAAAGAGAGACATCATTGGATAGATTATGAGGTTTAGCCACTCGAGTTGAACCAATGTATCTTTCGGTGGACATTCACACACACTTGTCATGATTGTCCACACATGTGATGGTGCACATACAACTTGATGTACGATTTAGATGGTTAATCAAATTGGTCCATACAATTTGTAAAAGATGGCGTAATTACAAAACTAATGTGCTACCAATTAATCAAGAATTTGGCGCACCAGTCCAATTTTAAAAATGTGTATAGTAAATTTTCACGACCCGTCAACAAATTTAGGCGGGTTATCTGTATATGGTAATGAAAGTATTAGACAAAAAAAAAAGATAATGAAAATATTGGAGGGAAAAAAGTGAAAAACTCCCTCCACATTTTCGTGTTTACCCAAAAGCCAAAGATGGAAAATTCCCCCTCCACTTCCAGTAAAAAAAAAAAAAAAAAAAAAATCCCCCTCCACAACCGAGCTTCATCCCTGTGCGAGATGAAAAATTGGGAAAAATGACAAGGGAGCACGGGCTCTCCTTCATTCCTCTGCTTCCAATGCGCCCTCCCGCATTAATCGACGACCGCCCGCTGCCGATTTCTTTAGTGGTTCGCCCTGCCTGCCAACCTCAGCGGTCGCAACCCCTTTCTCTCCATGCTCTCTCGGCCGCGCCAACCAGCCGCACCGCCGCCTGTTAGTTTGGTGGCTCGTCCCGCAGGCAATCATCAGCAGTCACCGCCAGGAGCCATTGCCACCAAGTCCCTCCTCCTGTCGTCGAAGAGCAGCCTCTCCCTTTCCCAGGTATGAAGTCAAGAATGTAGTCCATTTGGGAAGAAAATCGCACAAATTAAGGTGTGTTGAATTTAGGGAATTTTCCCAATTCTGAATCTAGGGTAAAACTTGAAGAGTGCTTGTCGATTTGTTGGTGCTAAAGCAGGATCGGCAATCCAAATCTGACGAATTAGGTTACCTAAGGCTGGAGTATCAGGGGTGCATGGCATTTAGCCCATCCTGTCACCGTGAGAGGGAGTCAAGTACTGGAAAGACGACTTGGAGTTCTCAAGGTTGGAGAAGGCACTTACCTGGGAAATGTTCTAATCGGAGCTGATCTCAACCTGGTTCTTGTTCTCTTACCCGTATCTGGTGTTAAAGAACCTTGCTGGCCCCAACGTAGTGTCTTACAACAGTCTGATTTCAGGTTTCTGCTTCCATCTATCTCATTTATTTGTCATTTTTGGCTTCAATCAGTCATCTTGTTTCGAAGTGTTCTGTGATTCGATGAATTTGTGCATCATGGTGTGAATCAGTAGTTGAATGCAAGAGTGTCACTTTAGGGATTTTTCTTGAATTGGGGAGTTCTTGGGAAGTCCTGAACTAGTCGGTGGAGAATGCTTTTTGTTGCCAGTTGATCTAAAGTCTGGGGACTGCGTCAACAGTTATCCTTTGATTCTCGTTCTCAGTTCCAGCATTGAGCTAGTGAAAATGGATGGCAGCTGCAGTTCCCTTTCAGTTTAGTTATTTTTGTTTGAAGAATTCGAGCTTTCATTGGCGAGAAGGTAGAATTTTTATTGATAACTTGAAGGATGGATATTTACAGTAGGAAATGCAACACGAGAATGGTTTGGACTAGTTTGCAATGTAAATTACCTTCCGATCTCCAGTCTGCCTATAATTCCCTTCCCTTTTATTGATCTTTTGGTTTTGCTATTCCATGGTCGATTCAGTTTGATGTTTTGCTAAGTTGTGTGGCATGGAAGTTTCTCAGTAATTCTTCACGTCTACTCATTAAAGAAAGCCTTTTTTTTCGTTTTAAGTTCTTTGGTTTTCTTGTGAACAGGATATGGACCAGCTGGATATGCTTTGTTTGTGGCAGTATATGCAGCATTGGAGGTATGTGCTCATTCTCTTATTTAGGCCTTAATTCAATTCAGTTTCATGCATCTAGTGAGATCTATGAGAAGTTCTTCGTGGTCTTAATACTAGTAACTACTGATGTGATAGATGCACGATACATGTGATGATTTGGACACCAAATTTAGCATATAGCTATAATTCCATGTAGACATTTTGTGAAGTTCTGCATACTGAGATCAAGTTCTTGTGGTAGATGAATGCAGCTGACTTGTTGGTTCTCATTTCTCTTGTCTTATTTGTACGAGTGTCAGCTATCCTTATCTATGGTGTTGTGATTGTGTTAATTTTACTGTTTCTTAAGGTACGAAATATGAAGCGAAATATTGGTCTATTTTCCGGGTTCATTTGGACCGGTAATGAGGTGTGTATGTATTGAGTTATACATTTAACTTAAATTTTGGGATAGAATTCTCTTTATGCGAAGGCTTAGTCTTAAGCTTGAAATTGATTGTGGTTTATGATTTCTTGTTCTCACAATAGGAAAAACAGAAGTCAAAAGTTAAGGAGAAGCTTGACAAGTGCGTAAAGGAAAAGCTTATAGATTTTTGTGATGTGCTCAATATTCAAGTAACTAAAGCCACAGTGATAAAGGTCAGTTGTGATTGGTAATGTTATTGCTTTCTTTTGGGTACCTATAAATTCGTTGGTTGTCTGGAAATGTTTTCAGGTAGAACTCACTGTAAGAATCAAGGACTTCTTGGAATCCCCATATGCTACAACTGATGTTTTGCTCGCTGATAAGGAACAGGTATTCCTTTCTTATAATCATTTGTCTGTTATACCTAGTTTGGGTTTCTTTTCCACTGGTAATAGTTGCTATCCTATGTTCTGTTCCAGAGAGGTAAGAAGCGAAGGTCGATCACTGGGAAGAATTCAAGCCCTGGTGAAGCATCAGCTAAGGTTAGTTTGTCTGTTCTTAATAGAGAACTTGGTACATTATAGCTGTTAATGGGTTTGATTTTCATGTAATTTGTAATCTTGGTACTACCTACTGGTAGTAGCAGTAATAATTCTCTAACCAAAAGGTTGCTTCCCTTTGCTAGTTTTGTTGATTTATTGTTCTTTCTGATTCCATCTTCTCTTGCATGATCATATATACTAATGTTCGCGGCTGCTCAACTCATTAATGATTGAATTTTAGATGGTAAAACTGGGTCCACACCACTATTATAATGAAACTTCCTTGGCTGAGAGCACCATTATCCAGATCTTTTTGTTGAGATAACCTCAAACTTTGTACATTGTTAATAGTCCATTATGCTCTTCGGATGTTAATAGTTCATTCTTGCTCTTGGTCTGCGGTGGTCCTTCAATTGAATGATTATTTTGACTTCCCTTATATTTGCTAGTCATTTTTATCCAATTTTTGTCATGTAGCATTAACTCAAATGTATCCGACTTTTATCCAATGTTTATCCAATTTTTGTCATGTATCCGACTTTTACCTCTCAAATAAAAAACGTTTTCTTCATCTTAAGCTGTTAAGAAGGAGGGATTAGGTCTGTGTGATGCGGTTTGCTGATTTATTGTTTCATTGTGTCCGATTTTAGTGCAGCAGTACCAAATTTCAAATATAATAGTTTTTTAAGTTAGTTACAGAAACTCAAATGCGAAAACATAAAGATTTTATCTATTTTTAATTTTAGAGTTTAGCTATTTTAAATTTTAAAATGAGATATTGCAGATGCATACAGATTTTCAGATCCGTAGAAGTCCTTTTCAAACTCAAATGCGACAACAGTTTTTTTCGACGGGTGTTATAAACTCTTTCGTGAATAAGAATAGTGGTGTGAATCTAATTCTGTGTTTCTGTTGTGTGCAAACTAGTACGTTCCCTTCCCTTCTCTCATTAAAGTTTCCCCTGTATATTAATTCATTGTTTATTCTGTTCTGCCTTTGCCCCTTTTGCTGGTCTTGTGTGTAATCGTATTTTTGTGCATGTGTACTGTGTAGTTGGATAGTAACTGGAAACATGGGGGGTGCGGACAAGGGAAGTGAATCAACTAATGGCCTCAATGGGAATTCTTCGAAGAATACAATGGTGAGCTTCATATCAGCAACTTTTCAAATTTTATGTATTATCAAATTTTGAATATGATCCGAGCAATGTTCACTTCTGTCCTGGAAAATGGGTCTTTTTTACAAATCTGTATTATTTGTTTTCGTGGATGCAGGAGAATACCGAGAAGGTTGAGAATCTGATTAGAGAGGTTTATGAGGGAGTGACGGTGATGTTCAGAAAAACTGATAGGCGTTTCGATGACCTAGCCAATGACTTATTGGATCTGACAGGGAGGAATTATGAGCATTGTAAGCTTCTGAGAGAGACGACTGAAGCGGTTGAAGCGGAAGTTACAGAACTTAGGGGTACCCTGAGTGATGAGGTTGCTGATCTGTCTAAACAGGTTCGTTGCGTGAACAATGCAATCAAAAACCTGAAGACAGATCTGCTGGATGCAGTGAGGACCGAGGTTCAGAAGTTCATTGAGACAAAGAAGGAACGCCAGTATGTCGACTTGACTTTAGAATCAGACGGGGTGAGTTTCTTTTACACGGCTATGTATGCTTTTTATTTCCTTCTTTGCTGACCCTAATTATCATTACACTTTAGGGAAATAGCAAACCTGTACGCCGTGCACGTGCAAGTGCTCGTTCCGTGGGTGGAAAATTGAAGGTGCCAGCGTTTCCGGATATTACCAAACCCAAGAAAAAGACTACAAAATGTAGAGCTGGGCCTTTCACAGTGGGGATTCATGTCAGTCCCGAGGACAGCATGTTAGTGGATTATGTATTCCGTACCGGCAAAGAGGGAGGGTAATTATTTCTTAATCTTTTTCAATTTATTAAGTACTTTTGTCTCTGTGACTCTAACTTGAATTATTGCTTTGTTCATTAGTGATGAGAAGATCGCCATGATAATTTGCACCTTTCTAACTAGGGAGGATATTTTGACCCTTGCACCTAAATCTCCACTGAGCACGTTGGTAAGTTCTGCATGTTTGGCCATTGATATACATTTACAAAGTAACCTACGAAAACCCATATATAATTAATCTGGTGAACTACAGATTCTGGACACTGTTGTCGAAAAGTTGACATGGGAAGACAGGGACAAACCAAAAAGGGAATGCGCCTTTCTGCCCGTTACATTTGCGGTATGACATTTATTTTGCTTGTGGCTTTGAGATTTTCATTTGACTGATCATCTTATTGGATTAGGCGAAAGCTTCTGGAAATAGAGACGACCTACGAAGCTTCATCAGCTTAGAGCACTTGAAAACGCTATACTGTACTGACATTCGTGACTGCGAGGCGGTATGTATTTTTCATTGTGAATTTGTATTAGAATTTGTATTTTTCATTGTGAATTTTATCACTTATCCGTCTCCTATGCTTTTACAAGTAGTGCTGATTGAGATTATAGGAATTCAATTTGTATGGCTAATCAGGTGTACATTGTTGTAGCTGTTAGATGTGGTATGGCTTAGACTGATTTAGAGTAGAACTTTGTTTGATTCTCTTGAAGAAGAGTAATTGGTGGGATTTCAGCAACGATGATGTCTAACCTGTAGTAAGCTAAAACCTTCATTTTGTTCTTAGTAGGAACAGATTTTGCTGTTGATGGCATCGATTATTTATTTTCCTTGACTAAGGCGATTACTCCCAGACCTCGACATGTTTTAATGTCTTGCTGTTAATTTATTGTTGTTTTGTTGATTCAGTAGTCAACAGCCAATGATCATAATGAACATGCTTAACTAATTGTTTTTTTTTTCACTTGAGTAATTAGTTGATTATCACTGTTGTGCTTTATCATTTTTGTACAAGCTTGATTCAAAGTTTTCCTTTCCCATGACCATCGAATCACTAGGAGAAACCCACAATGTAAAATTCAGGGTATCATGTTCAGTCTTGATGCTGCAGTTAACTTTTCCATTTTTATCAGTCTACTCTAGAGCCAATTGTCTTGCTTACATATTAACTTTCTCCCTGATTTATTTTATGTTGTATTTCAGTTTGGCCAGAACTTAGATATTATGTCCCATCCTTGCAAGCAGTGAAAGCATACTGCCTCCAGAACCTAGACTTTCTACTTCTTTGTATTGGTTGTACATGAGATTAAATGCACGAACTGTCTTTATATGTTTTTTTATAGATATTCATTCCCATATACATGGGGAACCATTTCTTGCTGTGCGTGGTAAACCTGAAGAAGCAACAGTACTGTCTTTGGGACTCGCTACCGTCATGCATGAAGGAGACAGAAATTAATCAAAAGCTGGTGGACATTGTAAGTAGAGTTTGTAGACATCGGAATCTGGTAATAGATACAATCGTACTAACATTAACTTGCGCAATTACAGATGGGAGCCTTGGATGTATTATTTTTTGATGACGGCGCTGCCTGGTTCCATGACGTTAGCTCATTTCTGGCTTTTGAGTTCAACCCAACAAATGATGCTCCCCGCCAACCCAATACGTAAGTAGAATAGCAATGTTTTCATTTGTACACCATTTTTTCGAATAAGTTCACTAATAGAGCTACGTTCTTTGTACAGGTGGGATTGTGGTATGTTTGTGATTAATTGGATGAAATGTGGCCGCTCCTTGAACAAAAAGACAGCAAAGTGCATGGGGAAACGGGTAAGTTGATAAAATCGACTCATTCTCCATTTATTGTGATTTCTAATTTCATTGATCAATTCATTTGTAATTTGACAGTTCAATAGTGAGGATGAACGTTTGAAGTTGGTGCTGGAACTGATCGATTGCACCCAGAATGAGAAGACAGCCTTACTTCACAAAGCAAGAGAACTGGTCGCATGAATAAGCTTTACTGGATGAATTGAGGCGAATGAGATGTTTATCAATATTTTGTTGTGTTTAAACAATTGGCTTGGTTTTATTTTTGGAGGATTTTCTGCATGTTGTTGGGATTATTAGTTCTATTCCGTGGATTGGAATCTCTTGTTCATTTCGTTATGTTGTTGGGGATTAGTGTTCCAAGTTATGAGGCTTTAGTACTTTGCTTAGACGGCTGGGTTTAAGCTGAATGATATTGCCCATGGATATTTTAATGCGATTTGATGAAACTAAAGAGCTATCTTCTCTTCTTTTCATCTCAGTTTGTTTCAATTTATTCTTTGTGTATGTTGATGGGAAAGTAAACCGTGTCCTGTTGTTATACATTATTGAGTGCAGGGGGTTGTTCATGGGAGCTGTTTACAGGTGCTTAATTGACTGTCTTCGTTTTCATGGACGAGGCAATGTATGTGGGTTCAAAGAATCGTACAAGGAGGCTTGGGACGTGTTTAATGGCTGTGATCTTCCACATACAGCAGAGGCACTAAGTGGTGTTCTGGAAGAGTTGATTGGTGTTACTGTCACTACTTCTGAATGGTTGAGAGTTGCTAAGGTTGCTGTTAATAGAAGAGCTTCTGTCAATTATCTTCCCATGGGATTCCAATTTAGTGGCCGAATGAACTTGCATATGAGTTCCTTGTGTTGGTGCTTATTCCTGGATTGCAATCATGATGTCACTGAATTCCTTCGTCCACCTGAACTCCCAGCAGCTGACCATATTTGAGTAGCAACCTCCCATCAAACTTGGCTAAAGAAGTGTCCTTGTTGGAGTCATTACTTTATTGTTATAGTTTCATTTCAATTCCTTTGTTTTGAGTCAATTCATTGCTGCATTGTTTGTGGGTTTTCAGGGGATACAGACTTGAGGGGAAGTTAGTTTTTAAGGGGTTGGGAGTTGTAATGGCCCAAGGTCTAATAAGAGCTAGTTGTAAACAGTAGAAGTACAAGGACCACTTTAGATATTTGTATAGACTATAAACGCTGGTCTGGCTGTATGAGGAAGCTAACGAAGTGAGAGGAAAACTAAAACAAATACATAAAAAACTTTTAAAGTCTCTATGGGGGATCGAACCTGCTACCTTTCCATGTTACTAAATTTAGTCAGCATATTAAACCACTAGGCTGGTCGCCTGCCATTCGTACATAAGACTATCGTTTACAATTTTATTCAGTTTTTTTACCCACACTCTGCGCCGGGATGGGTCTTGTAATTTAGATAATTTAATTCAGTTTCCATTGATGTCCCACTCAGATATCATGAATATGATCAATGAGTTATCTAACATGAAATTCTTAATCGAGCTGCTAATTTTAACACTACCCAAATCAATTTCAAAGCTTGACCAAATAAATAACTATGAGTGCTAGATCCGATTGATCAAAGTTTGTCCACCAGCTAATTAACTACGAAATTTTCAAGAATTTGCGAGCTAGAGTACATATTACATAATTCAAAGTAGGCATATCTATGCTTTGATGCTTCTGCTTTCAGTTCCAGAATTTAGAGCCACACGTACGGGATAGTTCCATTTGATTGCATTACCTGAAATGACAGCAGAAATAAATAAATTTGAGTTAAACTAATGAACTGATACCGAAAAGAGTACAAATGAACTGTCCATTGGAGATTAAAATTGGCATAGTCTTGCTGACAGTAGTAGTACCTCTACGAGTACGAGATCTAATGACATGAGTAAAAAGGAAAGACCAAGGTTGTAGTATATATCCAGTTCCTTAATCCACAAGAAAACACTATAAACTCATGGTATGCTAAACAAGCTACAATTAACAGTACCTGTCTGTCTATCCACACTGGCAATAGGAGGTATTCCAGAACTAGTTCCAACACCCGGAGCCTACGCAAAACAAAAACCATTTTAAACTGCCGTCCTGCTAAGGACTAACATTAACATAAAATGAAATGCTACAACTAAGACTTACAAGGCCACGAGCAGCAGGAGGACTAACATAAAATTATAGTGCATACTTACTTCAAGAATCGTCGTTGTCATCGTCATCCTCTTCCTCTTCATCATCGTCCCCATCCTCGTCGTCATCTTGAGAGTCATCCTCCTCCTCCTCCTCTTCCTCTTCCTCGTCGTCCTCGTCTTCCTCGACCTCGTTATCAAGCTCGTCCTCTTCCTCAACCTTTGCTGTGCTCTTGTTTCTAACTTGCTCACTCGAACTGTTCGTCGAATTTTTTGGAGGATTTTTACAAGTTGAGGCATAATGACCAAAACCACCACAATGGCCACATTGTCTCGATTTGACGACCTTCCCCTTCTTGTTCTTAGTCAGCCGACCACCTTTAAATCGTGTCTGTACCGGATCTTTAACATCTTTATAACGTTCAGATGCATCACCGTGATCATCTTCAGCAGGCTCTGAGGAAGCACCTTTACTAAGAGTACTCATTCCCTTCAATTTCGCACACAATGCTGAAATCTCTGCCCGAGCAACTTTGAACATACTTGGAGATTCGGCAGCTAAGGATGTCAATTGTAAGTTGTGGTACTGTATAATGCCAGATCTCCATATGCGTTCTTCTTCCTCTGATGGAGTGTCATTTCTTTGAAGTTTTTCCATAGTACCTTTTGGGTCTTTTCTCCACCTCGGCAAAACCAACTCCGAAGGCAACTCTTTCACTCGCTGCTCCCGTAATACAGAAATCATGTGTGCGCAGAGCATACCGGTACTACGAAACTTGTAACAACTGCACTCCATTTCTGATGTGGTTGGTTGATATGTAACTTCTATGACAACCTCGGAGTCTTCATACATTGTCATCTCATAGACACGGTGAGAAGATCTTTCAAAAGATCTGGTCATAATGCATCCATTAGATGCTTCGAGCTGCTCCCGAAATGTAAAAAATGCCTCCCTTGAGTAAACACTAGCACCACTTATTTCGAGAGATCTCAAACCTGTGTTTCTTAGCTCAGGAGTTCCATAGTTGGACTTGAAGTCTGCTTTAACCTCATTCTCTCTGAAATGCCGCAATGCACGATCAAAATCATTCACAAACTCCAGGAGATTATGCTGACAACTAACGTACTTCTTAATGAATGAATTGACCCCTTCACAACGAGATGTCGTCCGGACGTTAGCAAAAAACTTATCTCTTAAGTATGCAGTTGCCCACTCTCGCCGTTTCTCATAAGTGTTTCCAATCCAGCTATTGTCCTCAACTGAAAACTTGGTGATCATTGACCTCCACCTCTCTTCAAACTCCTCAATCCCACAATCAGCAAACATGCAATTCTTGAACGAGAAAAGAAACTTCTTATCCTTCACATGGTCCTTTGCATTACCAAACAGATGCCATGAGCACAAACGATGGGTTGCATCAGGAAAAACCTTACTAACAGCATTCGCCATTGCTTTATCTCCATCTGTGACAACGGCATTAGGCTTCTTACCCATTGCTTCCACAAAGGCTTCTAACACCCAATCATAAGATTCTTCAGTTTCATTGTTCATGAGTGCACATGCAAACACACACGTGTTGTTGTGATGATTTACACCTACAAACGAAAAATGCAATGTCAAATTAAAGTTAGCACAATAATTTTAGTCACGAATTAATTAGATTACCGAACTTTTTACAATATTGACCAAACATATGTAGATTGAAATTAAAGCATCACAATAATTCAAAAAACAAAGAAACTTGTAATTCCAATAATATACCTGAGAAGATCACTAGAGGCATATTGTACGCATTTTTCTTGTATGTAGTGTCAAACGATAACACATCACCGAAGCATCCAAAGTCTAGCCTGCTTATGCTATCCGCCCAAAATAACTTCTCCAGTCTCGAATCATCACCAACTTTGAACTTCATAAAAAAACCATTGTCATTGTAGCTTTTACAACTCAAGTAACTCAGTGCAGCTGTAGCATCACCGTTGCTGATGTTTTCTTTTCGGCACCTATCGACATAGTTATATACGTCTTGCCTCGTATACCCCACATTAGCATACCCACCAGCTGCATTGGACACAACATTCATGATTTGACAGGGCCTCAAACCGCCAGATTTCAAACTTGAGACAAGTGCTGCATCTGCTTTACTCAACTCACGGTGTGATCTAAGGTGATGAACTTGATGGTAGGGAGCTAATTGATGATTATGCTCATTTCTAAACCGAGTAACATGCCATCTCATGTCCTTCTTCTTCTTCAAAGTGATAAGCATATAAGCTTCACAACCAAACCTCGTTACTACCCTTGGTTCTATTTTTCTGTCTGTAGTTTTCTTTAGTCTGAAACCTGCACCAGAACAAACCCACTTGCGCGACACGATTTCTTTCTTTGTATCATACCGAGTATTACTCTTTCTAATTCCAAACCCAATTGCTCTGGAAAATCTCCTATAGAAAGCTTCACCATCCTGCAAACTACCAAAAGTCGTTTTATAGACATCAGTAGCCTTCAACTTCGATAAATTTTCCCATTCTTCTTCCTCAACATGAATAGATTGTTCGGAGTCTTCTTCCCCATTCTCATTTGTCACAGATTGTGCTATTTCTTCTTCCTCCTCATTCTCACGTGCTGGTTCAACCTCAACTTTTTTTTCCCTTACAGTAAAGGTCCCCTCCATGTTTGACCCTACCCTAACTTCGTTGCTGTAAAAATTAAATAAAAATGACTGTTAAAGTAAAATACTCCGTTTGTAGTATTAAATCAAAAGTATGGATGACTAACCTGTCACTTGTTGGTGTATTATTGCTGGTGGGATCCATCTTCCACCTTCAACTTGCGTACCTGCAGAGCTAATTTGTTTCAATTTATTTGATAAAGACAAGGTACAGTAAACAACAAAACTATATATTCTTCTACTTAAGAGAACCCAAAACAAGACCAGTACATTACATTACATAACTAACCCTTCAGCCAAAGCACAAATCACTCAACAAAATAACTAAAAAAGCTGCGTCGATTACCTCTACGGATTTTAGGTTCTGGATACGTGAGGAAGCAACAAGGCTGAACTGAATTGGAATGGCAGGGGAGGCTCCACCGCAACTCACCAAATCTTACTGCTATCCTGTTTCCGGCGAAGCTCGCAGGGGAATCACTCGACAGCCGGCGATCTTTAGTTGACTCTCTGTATCCACCGCAACTCAGCAAATCTGTCGTTCCCCAGAATTAATCAATCAGCGCAAGTCTCGTATGGGTGTAGAGGGGGTTGGTCGGTGTGTTACGTCCAGGAGATATCCTTGAAGCCGGGTGGAGACTGAAGCGCCGATTGCACTGGACTAAGGAAACACGATTGCGTCGACGAAACGATCGAATCGAAGGGATACAAAGGCGATTGTCGAGAAATCGAACTAATCGACCAACAAAGCAGCCGAATCGAAAAAGAAAGTAGTGATGCAGGAAGAGGAAAGGATCCAGAAGACTCGAACAATTGAAGAGAAAGTGAGGATTTCTGGGAACGAATCAAGAACAGAAATCTGTCTTCTCCTATTCCAAACGGAATCGCCTGAGATGGGTTAGTGGCGGAGGACGACGATGGCAGTTGCCCGGCACGGGAAACTAATCGTCGCCTGCCACCGGGAAACTATTGACGGTGCCAGAGGGGAAAACAAACGGCCAACAGGAGGGTTAAGTGACGTGAGGGACTTGATTGCAATTGTCATTAATTATAAATTGTTTTAATAAATATAATATAGTTGATTAGTTAATAATGAATTATAAATAAATCAAATTATTGTAACCGTTAGATGTGTTCAACGGTTGAGATTAAATAAAAAAGTGGGTGCGTTCAGTGCACCCAAAAAAGTGGGTGCACCGAAGTAGCCACCATATATATATATATATATATATATATATATATATATATATATATATATATATATATGTGGTAATGACTAGTATAAGAGACGTTGGGTCTCGTTCGTACCTCACATATGTGGCAACCCGTCTGTCGTTGAGGTAGGAGTGCAACCTGGGAATTGGTGCTTGTGAAAGCGGAATAATGTCCAACACTTCACCTTTTACACTATTTCATTCTCTCAATGGAGGTAAAGCCTTCAAGAAGTCTTCATGTGAGCCCAAAAGGACTCTACTAGAGAAATTTCAGCTCATTTTGAGAAGAAAATCCATGGTGATCATGTGATGGGTCCAAGCGCCATAGGGTGAACCTAACAAGTCGCGCTAAAAATCCTTGCAGAGGTTACTTGTTGGCCAAGCCCATGGAAGCTTCAGAAATATGCTTTTTCTTCATCATTAAATCAAGAAATATGTATCCCTGTGGTAAAAGTACACCTCTGACCGAGTTTTAGGCTGAAAAGGCCTGAAAACCCCTTCTTCCATACTCTATAAATAGAGGGCCAAGCTATAGGATTAGTGAGATTGCAACTACTACAAATTTAACTCTTTACAAACTCGATCAAGGAGACACTTGACTCAAGTGGAGATCGAAGTAACATTCATAGGAGGGTGCTGTTAAGGAGATGCCTTCGTCCTCAATGGCGGTACCCAATGTAGTCAAAAGCTAGCTTTAAAGCCTAAAAGCCTACGCTTTTATGCTTTGGAACCCCCAAATATTGTAGCTTTTGTTGAAAAGCCTTTTGCACCAAAAGCCCAAGTAAAAGCCATCAAGCCAGTAAAAAGCCTTAGAAGCTAGCTTTTGACCTCTTCTTTACACTTTTGATATCCAAGTATGATGATCATATTTGGTCGTGTTTGGTTCAATTTTTATGCATCTTCTTTCTATTATTTAATGAGATTCTTTGACCATTATATGCCTTTATCATTGGATGCCTATATCATTAGATGCTTTATGCATGTGATGCTTATACCATTCAAATGCTTTAGGTTTATTATTCCTTAACCATGTGATGCTTATATCATCTATATATGCTACTATGGTATTGTTTATAATTTCATATTAAGTGATAGGAAACTGACCATATGTGATGTTTTATTGTCTTATACGTGTATGGAGTGGAATGATCAACCATCCATGCTTGTATGAGATTAATGCTTGATGCCTTAGATCATCAATGTTATAGACCATTACTATAGTTTATAAATGCCCTAAATAAATAATATAATTCTTGAAATCCATCTTTCCTAGGACGGGCATTTCTTTACACAAAGTCTAAGTGAACATCTTAATGTGTTTATGAAAAATTACAAATAAACATTCATATTTATATATCATACAAATTTTATTTAGAAACTCCTTTAAGTTTTGAAAATTTTCCAACCCCTTGGTTGTGTAGTTTTCTTTATAACAGTCTTTAGCGTTGATTTACTTTAGAAAAAATCCAAATCTAACACTATTTAAAAAAATTACAAATATATTACCCAAACCGAAAATATTCCAAATCTACTACCATTATTTGAAAACCGCTCCCTAAGGAGGCGGTTTGCATATGAATTGCATGGTGAGGTCGCGGTTTGTTGGAGAACCGCATGGTGAAGAGGCGTTTTAAATTTTTTGAGCAAAACGCCTCTTGGAGAGGCATTGGCTGCCCTAAAACAAACCACCTCATGAAGGAGCGGTTATACGTCGACAAATGAAACCCCTTCTTCAAGAGGAGGCAGTTTATTGTGTCGACAGACAAACCGTTCTCTTCCCCAGCGGTTTGTGTGTCGTCCCCATTCCCCTGACATCCAACATGTCGGCAGCCAGGGGGTGCATACGTGGGGCTGCATGCCAGACTAAAACCGCCCCTCCCCCAACGGGTTTTAGTCAAAATTTTGCCTATAAAAGGAAGCTCTAAAAGTCTCAGTTCTTCACCCCTCTCCTTGTTCTTCTTCAAATTTCTCTTGTGCACCTTACTTTTTCGAGTTTTTGCGATTAACGTTACTTTGTAATTTTATTTTTTATTGCTTTTTATTGTGATTTGTGATTTTTATGATATTAATTTAGTTACGATTTTATTGCATATGACATTTTAAAAGTTAATGCTTGGGTTACGGTGGAATGGTTATACGGAAGAGACCGAAAATGAAGTACGTTATGTCTGTGATAATTTTCATAAAGTGAAGGTCTCTACGAGACCGAACCTTGAAGAGGTCCGTCAAATGTGTACTGAGGTTACTTGCATTGATGGCACAAGAAGAGTTGATCGTATGGTGTATTGATATCCAAACAGACATGGCGGGTCATTGTGGTATGAAGAATTTCTCATAACCACCCAGGAGGACGTAGATGCCATGGTCGAATTTTTGATCGCCAATAACATTAAAAAAATAGAGATTTTCATTTACACCGAGGCGGTCGAAAGACAGTGGAGGTCATTCTGGAGATGGCCAAACATCTGGTATCCACGATGGAGGTGGGTTATAAGAAGATCATCCTTACCAAGGTTACCATGATCCTCGTACCTACCATGAGTACCGGGAAGGAGGTGGAGGTTATCATCAATCCTTCCCATCAAATGAA